TGGCTTTTCATAAATTTTTGAGAAAAACACAAGATTCAATCTTTCTGATCCCAAATTTCAAATGTAATTGAGTTGTAATTGAAAAGTAATTGTCAATTACAGACAATTTTGGCTTTGTAATTCATTACTTCCAATTACTTGTAATTGAAAAAATGATCAATTACACATTACATTCAATTACTTGAGAAATTGTAATTAATTACAGCCAATTACAATTACATATTTCAAGTACCCCATGTCTGGACAGTTGCCACATGTGATATATATATATATATATATATATATAACATAACAGGATCAGTCTTTACATAGCAACATTTAAAGGTACAGCACATACAAACAATTGAAGCATGACATATGACTAAATACAGAGCACATGTAACATATAAAGCGAAGCATCATATATATATATAAAACACACACAGGCATTAAAAGCATAATATATCGATACAGACAAAGCACATGCAATGATAAGCATAATTACATAAAACACATTCAAGCAATAAAACATAAGATATCAATACATATCACGCATGGAAAAACAATAGAAAAGCACTAGTAGAAACACAAGCATGATATGAATGTAAGCAAATAAAGATAGATATGAATAAAGATCAAGCAGGCTTAAAAGATTAGTTCGGAGGCAACAAAACACCAAGTAGAAATATTTTTTTTCAACCGGCCAAAGTTTGATAGACTCCTTTCTTCATAAGGCAACGAGTTCCATAGCAGGGGCGGATCCAGGATTTTAGGTTAGGGGGCGCAAACTGAAATTTTTTTGAGGTAAAATTATCGAAATATTCTTTATTAAGTTGAGGACAACCCATGTTTTGCAATTTTAGGGGGGCGCACGCCCGCCACGCCCCCGCCTAAATCCGCCCCTGCATAGTCTTGCGTAACCAAAGTTTTTCTTATTTTACTTTGTTGTTTTCGGTCGTGGTATATCAACTATGCCATTGTACCTACAATTATATGCACTTTCGTTAATGGTAATCAAATTATGTAAAAAATCCGGACTTGAACTATTAACTATTTTATATGTCTCTAATGTCATTGTTCTCATCCTTCTGATTTTTAGTTCTGGAAGTTTAGGCTGTTCCAGAAGAGTGTTATAAGAGCTGTTGTAGTCGTCGTAAATGAATCTTGAGTGCTCGTTCTTTTTTTTCGATATTTTAGGGTGATTTTGTTCACTTCAAAAGTGCCATGTAAGTGGACAATACCTGAGGTTTGAAAGGATGAAGCAGTGATAAATGTAAAGTTTAGATAGTCTGGTCAGATGAGTTCCAAATCTTTTTAAAACATTTTGAGTTGTCGTGCTGCTTTATTTTTGCAAATGTTTGAGATGTGTGTATTGCCTTGAAATCCAGTTAAAAGTCTATATAAAGAACTGTCTCGGACAAACAGTTGATATTGTAACTGACCAGCTTATTTAAAACGTTATACCAGTTCAGCCATCTTTGATTCCCTGTTTTTGTCTTTTTGTTGTTGTTTTCAAAACCTCGATAGTCTAACATATACAGTCTATTTGTGTATAATAATTATGTTCTCGTTTCTTTCCCCCATTTCATATGATGTCCTAACTAATTTTGAACAACAGGTACGTTATATTGATTAAACATAAACGAATGTTCATTTATAATTGTATTCAAACATGGATGAGTTTTATGATATCTGATTGTTGTAATGATTTACTTTATTAATCATCGAATAATATGCTCTCCAGTAATCTGGTTGTTCTTAAACATAGGGAGAACCAACACAGATTTTTGTCGAGCCTGCGACTTGGCGTTCACAAATATTCACTCTGTGGTTAAAGTTTTTGAAATTTTAATAACTTTCTTAACCTATCCCGTTTGAATGGTTTTACACTAGTAATTTTTGGGGCCCTTTATTAAGTTGATAGTGGGTCTCATTGGAGTCTAAGCGTGACCCGGGATTGTCGATTTTTTTTAATCGTGACACGTGAAAGTCAAATTATTGTGCCGTGAAAACGGGAAATGAAGTCTAGCGGGACACGGGAAATTACAAAAAAATGAGATTTGCTTACGTAAATAGTGTGACCCCCTTTATAGCTTGCTGTTCGGTGTGAGCCAAGGCTTCGTGTTGAAGATCGTACTTTGACCTATAATGGTTTACTTTTATAAATTTTGACTTGGATGGAGAGTTGTCTCATTGGCACTCATACCACATCTTCTTATATCTATAAGTTTTCTTTCAGTTAACATAACATTCACTCTGTGGTTAAAGTTTTTAAAATTTTATTTCCTTTCTTAAACTATCCTGGATTTCTACCAAACTTGGACAGAAGCTTGTTTATGATCATAAGGGAGCTGCCATTTGATTTTTATGGGGGGGGGGGGGGGCGGGGGGGGGGGGGGGGGGGGGGGGGGCTAGGATGAAAAATTTTGCCCTGCATTTTTTTTAGTTGTAATCTCTGTCCTGCCTTTTTATTTTTCACTCTATTCGGTCCTGACTTTTTTTTTAAAGTTATTCCTGACTTTTTTTTACATAAATTGTCATCCTGACTTTTTTTTTTGCAAAGTGTCTCATCCAGCCTTTTTTTTTACTCAAAACTCCTGTCCTGCCTATTTTTTTCAAATTTCATCCTAGCCCCACTATAAAAATCAAATGGTAGCTCCCTAAGATAGTATCCAGAAGTAAATTTTGTAAAAAAAAATCCTGATTATCCGTATTTTACTTATAAATGGACTTAGTATTTCTGTCAGTTAACATTACATTCACTCTGTGGTTAAAGTTTTAAAAATTTTAATAACTTTCTTAAACTATCCTGGATTTGTACCAAACTTGGACAGAATCTTGTTTGTGATCAAAAGCTAGTATCTAGAAGGAAATTTTGTAAAAATTTATTTCCTGTTTTTCCGTATATTACTTATAAATGGACTTAGTTTTTCTTTCAGTTAACATTACATACAGTCTGCAGTTGAAGTTATTAAAACATTTATTAGATTGATAAACCATGTCATTAACTGTGTCTATTATGTGCATTCCCCTATCACACTGAAAACATAGACAACAGCAAAAGTAGGCGAGACACTGGGTTCCGCGGAACCCATACGAATTTTTACAGTTTCAAATATGTTTACAGAAATGAATATATTTAGACATTGATATTAGAATAATTGCTGAGAATCCTCATACCAAAATTTATGACGAAAACGACAACTTTTTCTTTCTTAGAGATATCAAAAATTGGCCGTAACTACAATATTTTATTACAAATTTAGAAATGTATAGTGGCGGTATGATTCCCACGTTCAGTGAAGGATTTTAAGTTGCATTTCACAACCAGGTTTTCCAGTACAGTACGATTATGTACATGATGTATAAAGCTTTCAAATTTAGGAAATTGTCTTTAAATCTTTTTTTTGTTTGGTTTTATTGAGTTTTTAAATAAGTTTATAATTATGTTACATTTTGTACTATTGTTCAAAATTTGCGTCTGATAACTTTTGGGATGATCATTTAGTTCGCCATTATATAGGTTGATGCCAAATGTTTAATTCTGAACTGAAATACCGTACACTGACTTTTAACAAGGTCGTGTTTTCTGGTATTTTTTACGTTGCTGTTTGAAATCTCACCAATATGAAATCTCTTCATATCACCAGGTTAAGTATTGTGAGTTTGTTTGCAGTAATATTTCAGTATTTGTATTTGTTGGTTATACATTTCACTGTTTTTAAATGGTTAAGTGTTTTTCCAGATCTGATTTAATTTTAGGTCCTTTATAGTACCTTATGTTATTCCACTGATCAAGATTTAAAATAGAGGAAGGATTGAGATCTATAAAACTATGTTAACCCCTCCACATGTGCCTGTATAAAGCAAATACACCTCATCGAGGATTATCATAATGTTTTGATTGGTGTCTTGGGATTTGTGCTGATTACAGATTTTTTATAGTCCTCTTTTTTGATTTGAGTCGATTTTGGAATTTATGTCTTTCATGGCACATGTGTATTGTTTAAGACTGTATCACGAACGCCATTATGTTTTGCATGACAGTTTAAGGAATAACTATGTCACAGATAACCACAGAACTTATCATAGCTACAATCCCGTACTCTCTTCCTCGAATGTGACATATCACAGAATTTTGACTTCGAACGAGTAACACGACGGATATCACTGGTGGAACAGGAACTAATGTGGTAAAACACTGTTAAACGTATATATTTATATTTATATATGTGTGTTGTTCATTTATGTTCAAACTGCTTTTTCTTTATGTGTATACTAGACTATTGTTGTTTTTTGTTTGTTTGTTATTGTCTTATTAATCATTATGTCTTATATTGTATTATGCTCCTTGTGAGTCCAGTTAATGCAAATAAAACATCTTCTTCTTCTATACCCTCCCGAATGGTCTCGGTTCCCCCTAGTTTTTGGTGGGATCTAGTTACTCACTCTTTAGTTTTCTACGTAGTTTTTTGTGGACAGTTGTATGTCTTGTCATCTTTTTTTCTTTTTGGCTTAGTTTTGTGTTATTTTTATTAGACATAGGCTTTAAAAATGCCCCTTAGTTTCCCCTTATTTTTAATGTGTATAATATGTATCATACGTTTTATTGATTGCTCTGAGCCGATACCACTACTGATGGACCGGCAGTCTTATAGGGTACCAAATAGTGTTTTGGAATCATGTGTTTTATAAATAATTTTAATGTACTGAAACTAAGGATGTTAAGGTCTCAGTGGTTCTGGTCGAACTGTAGAACGGGTAAGAAGCTTTCAAATATTTGTTATTACTAAAGTTATCTGTATATGATAATGATAAAATCAGTGTGTACTATAAATGTAATAAATGAAATCAGGTTTGAACCCTAATTATTTATTGTTTTCTTAAGGGAAAACAATTATTTTAATTGGAACATTTCTAATCAATCTGCATATTGTTTTAAATACAGATTTACTGAAATTCACTATAACCCTAGGAGACTTCCGAATGGGTTGTCATTACTAATTTGTATGTTATAGATAATGGAATCACAGAAATTAGACAGAGGATGTTTTGTGTGTGGTAAAGGTGAAGCTAAGAGATGTTCATCTTGTAAACAAGTTTTGTATTGTTCTAAAAAATGCCAAAAGGCTGACTGGAAAAGTCATAAAACGATGTGTGTTAAAACAGATCAAAACGCTAACTACAACGAGACACATGTCAACCGGCCGTTGGTAGAAACAGATAACCTTCCTAAGATACAACTAACAAGTGCATTGTACGACTCAGCTAAAACCAAGACCAAGGACCTGTTCCCAGGAAAGAATGTCCTCTGTTCATTGGATGACCTGTCTCCAGCCCCTAGATTTGATGCTGTTTTTCTGGCTTACATTACAGGGTATCATCCTTATGTATTTCGCCATGCAATATTCATTTTGGTAATTCTATTTCTTATAAAAATAAAAAGATGTGGTATGATTGCCAATAAGACAACTTTCTACAGAGACCAACGTTAAAACAAATATGATATACAACAACAAACGACAACCACTGAATGGAAGTCTACTGCATTGGGACAGACACATACGGAATGTATCGGGGTAAAATATGTTTGCAGACGCCCAACCCTCCTTTAAACCTAGGACAGTGGTGAAATAATACAACATAGGAACAAACTATAAATATCAGTTGTAAAGGGCTGGATTCTTGTACATTTTAGAAAACGAGATGCAATCATTCATTTATCAGGTTATTTATAGGTTAAACTGAAAAGAATACATGACATCTATAATATAAAAATCAGGAGATGTAATATGATTGCAAATGAGACAAATCTCCACCAGAGTTCAAAAGAAGTGAATGCAAGCATATTTGTTTACAAAAAAAGAGCATCTATTCATACACTCTGCTGTAGTTGGGATGAACTAAATTTGTTATTTGTTATTTTCTATTATTTATGAGTTTGTTAATGTCATGTTCGTTCGTTTCGTATACATGCTATTCAACCTCAATAATAAATTTATATTTAAAAAAGAATTGTATTTTTCACACTTTTTCTCTAAAATTTGCTTTACCTTAAATTAGTTATATTATGCGACGATATTATTTTATAAATCTTAGCTCTGTCGTGTTCATTATATACAAAACCCCAAACAAATACAAAACGTTTAGAATTTATTGTTAGTCAAATATGTGAGAGTAAAATCTATGTCCGGTATCAAATCTGTGTCTTTTCCTCAGATATGTGTTTTTTGATGTGATGACACTCAAATCTGTGGCCCTTTGTCTAGCCACAAATCTGTATCCTTTCTTAAGATATGTGTCCCGTGACGTCATGACACTCATTCAAATCCTTGTCCTTTATATAAAGTAGACCTTCAAGTAATGTTACTCGACTTGGGACAGGCACATATATAATACGGCGGGGTCAATCCTACCTCAATTTGGCACCATTGTAAAACAACTCAACATAATAACAAACTGTAAAAATGTGTGATTCTTTAGTCATGTCGTAGAACAAATGACATATTTAATAGATTGCCCATTATTTTAGGATATAAATAGTAAGGAATCGTTTTTGACCTTCTACCTGGACTACGACAAACCAGAACCTTACTTCACATGGGAAGATGTCAGACCAGGGAAGTTCGTTGTTATACAACTACCACATCTTCATTACTTTATGGACGGCCAAGTTGGATTCAGGATAGAGGAACCATACGAAGTCAGATTCCTTGATGGTTGAACATTCCGATGTTAATAAAACATTTAATTAAGATAGACATCCTAAATCGAGCATTCATTTGAGGATCTTTGGGAGACACCATCTTGAACGTTTTTATTTTTGTTAATTTTGTCCAGATCGAATATTTGAAAATATAAAACAAAACAAAGAACAATTATCTTATATCATTTTAGACCAATTTGAAAAGCCTGTATTTCACTTTATTCCGTTAAAGATGTGCGTGTCGCAGTGCTAAGCTAGTGGAGCTGAGTGAACGGACTGATTTTGATAATATTGTATCTTCTTTCGATTATATTTCTCTCCAATTATATCTTCCTCCGAAAATATGTCCCTCTGATTGTATCTATTTCCGATTTTATCCCTCTTCAATTATATCTTCCTCCGATATATTTCCCTCTGATTGTATCTACCTTCGATTGTATCCCTCTCCAATTATATCTTCCTCCGATATATTTCTCTCTGGTATCTACTTTCGATTGTATCTCTCTCCAATATTTCCAGTTGTATCCCTCTCCAATTTTATTTTCCTCCGAAAATATTTCCCTCTGATTGTATCTACTTTCGATTGTATCTCTCTCCGATTATATCTTCCTGCGATAATATGTCTCTCTGTTTGTATCTACTTCCGATTGTATCTCTCTCCAAAAATATCTTCCTCCGATAAAATATATCCCTCTGATTGTATCTACTTCCGATTGTATCACTCTCCAATTATATCTTCACTAGTTATTGGTAAGAACATGGTTATAGTCTAATCGATGAATCGGTATAAATTTTAATTCGTTCTCTTCCAAATGAGCTCATTATAAAAAGCTATTCACTTCACATACATTGTTTTAAACTTTTCTTAAAATGGTTATATTAGGGAAAAACACAGGCAAATTGCAAAATAGTCAATTTGCAGTTTGAGGGTATTTCGTAGTCATCTACAACATGTCATGACTCATTGTACTTAAGTATATGCTAAGGACCTGTGTAGATTCGTTGTTGTTTTGGGTATGTTTGTGGCCTGTGTAGACTCGTTGTTGTTTTGGGTATGCTTGTGGCCTGTGTAGACTCGTTGTTTTGGGTATGTTTGTGGCCTGTTTATACCCGTTGTTCTTAGAGTATGTTTGTGGCCTGTGTATACTCATTATTCTTAAGGGTATACTTGTGGCCTGTGTATACCCATTGTACTTTTATTTATGCTATATTGGTCGGTCTAGACTCGTGGTGCTTTAGTAAATGTTAAGGGTCTGTCTAGATTTTTGTGTTTTAGTTTATGCCTGGGACCATGCAGTCTAGACTCTTAATGCTTACGTATATGCTAAGGACCTGTCTATATACCTTTTGTTTTAATTTATGCTAGGGACCAGTCTAGACTCGTGGTGCTTTAGTGTTTTTTAAGGGCACGTCTAGACTCGTGGTACTTTTGTATATGATAAGGGCCTGTCTAGATTCCTGGTGTTTTAGTTTGTGTCAGGGGCCTGTCTAGACTCGCTATGCTTTAATGTAATGCCAGGGTCCTGTCTAGATTCCTGGTGTTTTAGTTTGTGTCAGGGGCCTGTCTAGACTCTTTATGCTTTAATGTTATGCCAGGGTCTGGTCTAGATTCCTGGTGTTGTAGTTTATGCTAGGGACTAGCCTATATTCGCGGTGATCAAGTATATGCTATATGCCTTGCCCTGATGAAGGCAGCAATAAAAGCACTGCCCCCTTGCTTTTATATTTTTAGTGTGAATAATTTTGTAAAATGGATGGATACACCACATCATGGTCTTGATAGCCTGACTAGTTTACAGGCATTCAATTTCATGGGATTAAACCAGTTTAAAGCGCACATGGTGTGATATAACCATCTTATGTCATAGTTAAAGTGAGGCAATATGGTGTGATATAACCTTCTTATGACGTAGTTAAAGTGAGGCGATATGGTGTGATATAACCTTCTTACATCATAGTTAACATCAGACAGCATGGTGTGATATAACCTTCTTACATCATAGTTAACGTGAGATAACATGGTGTGATATAACCTTCTTAAATCATTGTTATCGTGGACAACATGGTGTGATATAACCTTCTCACCTAATAGTTAGCATGAGACAGCATGGTGTGATATAACCTTCTCACCTCATAGTTAGCATGAGACAGCATGGTGTGATATAACCTTCTCTCCATATTTGTGTATAATAGTAATAGAAAACGTCTCATACTATTTCAGACTGTTTATATTTTGGTTTATCGGACTAGCCTTAGTCCACAATTGGACGACCATTTGATATTCAAAAAAAGGCCGGGGTTGATATGGCAAGCCGTTTTACTATTTATTCTAACTTCAAGATATCTCGTATAATATAGAAGATATCTCATATAATATAGAAGATATCTTATATAATATAGTTTTATAAGATATCTTATATAATCTAGTTTTTATAAGATATCTTATATAATCTAGTTTTTTTAAGATATCTTTTAAATTTAAGAAGATATCTAATAGATATCTTATATACTTTATAATATATCTTATATACTTTAGAAGATATCTTATATACTTTAGAAGATATCTTATAAACTTTAGAATATATCTTATAAAGTATATAAGATATCTTTTAAAACTAAATTATATAAGATATATAGGGAGGGATTGTGCTTGATTTTCATATGTTGAAGACATAATCTTTCAATCAGTTTAATTGAAGTCTGAAGCTGGCATGTCAGTAACTGCTAGCAGTCCTTTGTTAATTTATGTATCATTGTCATTTTGCTTAGTTTCTTTTGTTACCTATTCTGACATCGGACTTCTTTTTAACTGAGTTTCACTGTGCATATTGCTGTGTGTTTGTTTATTCTACATTGGCTAGAGGTATAGGGGGAGGGTTGAGATCGCACAAAACATGTTTAACCCCACCGCATTTTTGCGCCTGTCCCAAGTCAGAAGCCTCTGGCCTTTGTAAGTCATGTATGTTTTTTAATTTTAGTTCATTTATATGTTTTGGAGTTTAGTGTGACGTCCATTTTCATTGAACTAGTACACATGTTTGTTCAGGGACCAGCTGAAGCCCGCCTCCGGGTGCGGGATTTTCTCGCTGTGTTGAAGACCCATTGGTGGCTCATGGTTTTCTGCTCTTTGGTCGGGTTTTTGTCTCTTTGACACATTCCCCATTTCTATTCTCAATTTTATAATATATAAGATATCTCATAAAGTTTATCAGATATCTTATAAATATTTCTTATATTAGAGATCTTATTATTAACATACACTATCACACTATATCATTTTACCATATCATGGCGCGCGGAAGTAGTCAAGGAGACAGTATTAATTTTTTCAGGGGTTGACAGGATACATGTAATCGTTTTTAGTTTCAACTTCAATGTTATTATGCAAGAAAATTTCATAAACAATGATTTTATATATGTTTTTTATTTGGTTTTCACTTTACTTAGGGCTTTATCTCTGATCTTATTTCAGTGTGCACTGTTCTTATTCTACGTATTTCACCTTTATCGATATTAGGAAAATATGTTTGGTCGATTGCATATACCATTTTGTTTTAGGGGTGTTCAGATTCAATGTCTAGTTAATGTATATTATTTAGCGTTGTCTGCGAGAAACAAATCATTTCTCTGATAAAGTATCTAAATTCAAATCCAATATAAATATAGTTAACATATATATTTTATTGAACTGTGTAAATTGATCGGAATGCGAATGCTAACATACACCTAAAATTCTTTTTTAGTGTATTCCGTTTAACACATGACATTTGCGCGGGAACTTCTTCCATTGAGATCGTAATATAATTGAATTTGGGGATTATTGTAATGTGAAGTAACAGTAATTGACATTTGGATGTAATATGATATTATTTATTTCTTCTATAGTACATAATTTGACGTCAGGTTTGTACACATTAACAGGTTGGGAACAACCCCTCAAACGAGGGGTAACCCCTCAATGTAATGACTATCCCTTTTATGAGGAGTACATTTCAAGTGTTAAAAAATATTTTTTTGTTAAAACCACTTTTTAGTACAAATGAGCAAATATTTATATTATTTGAAGAAACTTTTCCCAAAGAACTATACATCTAACTAGTATTATATGGTCAAAACATGTCCAAGAATTTTGTAATATTCCTGGACTCTTCCTTATTAATATTATTAAAAATAAGTGGAACCCTCTTTTAGAAAAGTTGTTCCAAATATTATGAATTTTTCCCCTTTTAAGTTAAAAAATCGAAGTTTTTCTGTTTTCTTTTTTACAACAGTAAAACGACCCCTTGTCTCAGGGACAGTCCCTCATTTACGGGATATCCCTCATTAGGAGTCAGTATTAATTTTTTCAGGAGTTGACAGGATACATGTAATCGTTTTTAGTTTCAACTTCAATGTTATTATGCAAGAAAATTTCATAAACAATGATTTTATATATGTTTTTTATTTGGTTTTCACTTTACATAGGGCTTTATCTCTGATCTTATTTCAGTGTGCACTGTTCTTATTTACGTATTTCACCTTTATCGATATTAGTTTACCATATCATGGCGCGCGGAAGTAGTCAAGGAGACAGTATTAATTTTTTCAGGGATGACAGGATACATGTAATCGTTTTTAGTGTCAACTTCAATGTTATTATGCAAGAAAATTTCATAAACAATGATTTTATATATGTTTTTTATTTGGTTTTCACTTTACTAAGGGCTTTATCTCTGATCTTATTTCAGTGTGCACTGTTCTTATTCTACGTATTTCACCTTTATCGATATTAGGAAAATCTGTTTGGTCGATTGCATATACCATTTTGTTTTAGGGGTGTTCAGATTCAATGTCGAGTTAATGTATATTATTTAGCGTTGTCTGCGAGAAACAAATCATTTCTCTGACAAAGTATCTAAATTCAAATCCAATATAAATATAGTTAACATATATATTTTATTGAACTGTGTAAATTGATCGGATTGCGAATGCTAACATACACCTAAAATTCTTTTTTAGTGTATTCCGTTTAACACATGACATTTGCGCGGGAACTTCTTCCATTGACATCGTAATATAATTGAATTTGGGGATTATTGTAATGTGAAGTAACAGTAATTGACATTTGGATGTTATATGATATTATTTATTTCTTCTATAGTACATAATTTGACGTCAGGTTTGTACACATAAACAAGTTGGGAACAACCCCTCAAACGAGGGGTAACCCCTCAATGTAATAACTATCCCTTTTATGAGGGGTACATTTCAAGTGTTAAAATTTTTTTTTTGTTAAAACCACTTTTTAGTACAAATGAGCAAATATTTATATTATTTGAAGTTTATTTGAAGAAACTTTTCCCAAAGAATTATACATCTAACTAGTAGTATATGGTCAAAACATGTCCAAGAATTTTGTAATATTCCTGGACTCTTCCTTATTAATTTTATTAAAAACAAGTGGAACCCTCTTTTAGAAAAGTTGTTCCAAATAAAACAACCAGTAAAACGACCCCTTGTCTCAGGGACAGTCCCTCATTTAAGGGATGTCCCTCATTTGGGGGGTTGTTCCCAACCTGATTAAGACTCTAGTATACTTTATAAGATATCTCATGTATTTGATAAGATATCTTATATAGTTTATAAGATATCTTATATAGTTTATAAGATATCTTATATAGTTTATAAGATATCTTATATAATTTATTAGATATCTCTTATAATTTTCTTTATAAGATATCTTATAAACTATATGAGATATCTTATATAGTTTATTAGATATCTTGAAGTTAGAATAAATAGTAAAACCGGCTTGCCATAGGTTGACTGGCTAGGATTTTTAGCGGATTGAATATCTTTTTACATTTGTTGCTGTGCATGTTTTAATTTTTTGTTGTGAAGCTGAATATTCATTTTAATCCTGTCTTTGACAAAATAATTTATTTTCAGTTCTTTCAGGTCAAGATATTCATTTTCAATTTTAAATCCGCGTACACCATCCCATAGGAAATCAAATAGTCGTCCTCTAAGAGAACACACAATAAAAACAAATGAACGATTTTCACCCTAACTATTGTTATTTAATTGCAAATTGTATAATTTATCCATCAGCCTAAACTTTATCTGCCATTGATTTCCCATAATACAATAGTTTACCATTAACAATTGCTCAATAAAGTATAAATACCAATGATTTAAATCCTTCGTCATAGTCACTGTTAAAAGTCTTTGTGTCTTAATAAACTTCCAAATCTCTATTAAATATCGCATGGTGATGAGAGTTTTGTGGACATATATATTATAGCATGAATATGAGCTTTCTGTGGATATGTATAGTCGCATGAGAATGTACTTTCTGTGTTTTATACTAATTTTAAATTGTGTGGCTCTGAGTGAAATGTTAGATAATCTGCAAATACAAATAGGTAAGCACAAAATCTTCTTTTCTTATTATGTCTTTTTATGACATAGAATTTTAAACAGGTTAAAACAAAATGTTTCATAAGTGATATATTTTTTGCCATTGATTTAAAGATTAGAAAGTTTATTAGATAAATATTTTGTTTGCCATTAAAATGCAAACAGGCATATACACAATGTTTTATCTAACATAATATAATGTCTTTTAATGCCATAGGACTACATACAGCTTTACAAAATATCTGTCTGTTAATGCCATTCGACTAAATACAGCTACGTACAAAATATCTGTCTGTTAATGCCATTCGACTAAATACAGCTATGTACAAAATATATGTCTATTAATGCCATTCGACTAAATACAGCTATGTAAAAAATATCTGTCTGTTAATGCCATTCGACTAAATACAGCTATGTACAAAATATCTGTTTATTAATGCCATTCAACTAAATAGAGCTATGTTCAAAATATCTGTCTATTAATACCATATAACTGCATACTGAAATGTACAAACATTTGTCTGTTAATGCCATCATAGCATGTTTGTCTTTTTGTCTTTTAATGTTATAGATCTACCTACATACGGGTGTTATGCAAATTAATGTTTGTCTAACGCCTTAAAACTACATGCAGGTTTTTATTTATAATGTATTTTGATGCCATAAAATAACATACAAATGTGTACAAATTGTGTGTCTTTTAATGCCATAATACACACGGAGACGTACAAAATGTGTGTATGTTATTGCCATAGAACTACATCCAGGTATGTACAAAATGTTTGTCACACACAAAGTTATCCTTTCGATGTACACGTGTCCCTTAGTTAAATTCTAAAGCTATCCTTTCGATGTTCACGTGTCCCTTAGTTAAATTCTAAAGCTATCCTTTCGATGTACACGTGTCCCTTAGTTAAATTCTAAAACTATCCTTTCGATGTACAGGTGTTTCTTTATTAAATTCTAAAGTTATCCTTCCGATGTACACGTGTCTAAAACTATCCTTTCGATGTACAGGTGATTCTTTATTAAATTCCAAAGTTATCCTTCCGATGTACACGTGTCTAAAGCTATCCTTTCGATGTACAGGTGATTCTTTATTAAATTCCAAAGTTATCCTTCCGATGTACACGTGTCTAAAGCTATCCTTTCGATGTACAGGTGATTCTTTATTAAATTCCAAAATTATCCTTCCGATGTACACGTGTCTAAAGCTATCCTTTCGATGTACAGGTGTTTCTTTATTAAATTCTAAAGTTATCCTTCCGATGTACACGTGTCTAAAGCTATCCTTTCGATGTACAGGTGATTCTTTATTAAATTCCAAAATTATCCTTCCGATGTACACGTGTCTAAAACTATCCTTTCGATGTACAGGTGATTCTTTATTAAATTCCAAAATTATCCTTCCGATGTACATGTGTGTAAAGCTATTCTTCCGATGTACCGGTGTTTCTTTATTAAATTCTAAAGTTATCCTTCCGATGTACACGTGTCTAAAGTTATCCTTCTGATGTATACGTGTTCCTTAGTTAAATTCTAAAGCTATCCTTCCAACATACATGTGTCTAAAGTTATCCTTCCGATGTATACGTGTTCCTTAGTTAAATTCTAAAGCTATCCTTCCAACATACATGTGTCTAAAGTTATCCTTCCGATGTATACGTGTTCCTTAGTTAAATTCTAAAGTTATCCTTCCGATGTACATGTGTCTAAAGTTATCCTTCCGATGTACACGTGTTCCTTAGTTAAATTCTAAAGCTATCCTTCCAACATACATGTGTCTAAAGTTATCCTTCCGATGTATACGTGTTCCTTAGTTAAATTCTAAAGTTATCCTTCCGATGTACATGTGTCTAAAGTTATCCTTCCGATGTACACGTGTTCCTTAGTTAAATTCTAAAGCTATCCTTCCAACATACATGTGTCTAAAGTTATCCTTCCGATGTATACGTGTTCCTTAGTTAAATTCTAAAGCTATCCTTCCAACATACATGTGTCTAAAGTTATCCTTCCGATGTATACGTGTTCCTTAGTTAAATTCTAAAGTTATCCTTCCGATGTACATGTGTCTAAAGTTATCCTTCCGATGTACACGTGTTCCTTAGTTAAATTCTAAAGCTATCCTTCCAACATACATGTGTCTAAAGTTATCCTTCCGATGTATACGTGTTCCTTAGTTAAATTCTAAAGTTATCCTTCCGATGTACATGTGTCTAAAGTTATCCTTCCGATGTACACGTGTTCCTTAGTTAAATTCTAAAGCTATCCTTCCAACATACATGTGATTCTTTGATGATTTGTAGTCCTTTCAGTGTTGTTTAAGCCTCGTTTAAGGTTTATTGCATCTAAAGGTGTACTTCCTAGGTATATATTTCAAAATGATCATACAGGGTATCAAATTAAATAGTATATTTTGTAAGTTTTTACCAAGCCACACGAACAAGATCGGCGAATAAACAAGTTAGTGTAATAAACTAATTTGACTGGGAAACAGCTAAAGCTTATGTTAAGGTAATCCACTATTTTAATATAGGAACAGAAATAACAAATATAATCTCTACATTTCCTTATTAGATCCAAAGGCTACAATATAGAAAGAATAAAAAAAAATAGATGATATTTAATATTAAAGGTATAGCATTAACTTTAGGAAGTAGCTGTATAATGCCCATTTGATACATAATTGGAAATCAAAATAACATTTGAAAGACACCGTATGTAAATATGACGTTAATTTATCCGTTATTATGTTTCAACCTCTCATTTATAGCAACACGTTTATCTTGTCATTACAAATTAACCCATTAAATTTGTCTTTTTGTTTAGATAAGAGCTTTATTGACATAATTTCTGTATGAACAAATACAGATAATTGGTGTACGGTCAATGAGACACGGTAGGTTAGGGTGTCCTGCGGTAGAATGTTAGTTCCCGATTCTGTGCAGTTGGGTTTGTTTACATGGTATAAGAATGTCAATAAAACAACCATTATGTTGATTGCTCTTTCGCCACTACGTTATACGTTCCTCTCGAGTATATTACAACGATTTTTATTGCAAAAGACGTTCAAATTCGTAAACGGAATTGTCCTGATAATGCGCTAGTGATGAGAACATTTGTGCGGGTTCTGTGCACTTTTTATTTGAGTATAAAATGATAAATATTCAAAATAATTGATGTAGAAAATATGTGTAATAGATGGTAAAGACACTTAGCAACATTATTTCAAATGAGAAAAATTAAGTCTGTTTTGTACATTTTGGAATACGAAACCATGCATTAAATTGACAGGTGTATCATCACTAACTACATTCGCTCAAATACCCTATGAATATGCCTTTTTATTATTATTAAAAAAAAATTTAATTTATGGCTGACAGTTTAAAATGTGAAAGATTTTTTTTATCTTTTATCTGTTAAATGGTGCGCTTCAAAAGAAAAAAAAAGAAAAGTGACGACTATGCGCACATTTACATGGGAACGTGATGTCACCTTGAACATGTAAAGTGGGGACGGGATCAAGTACAATTTAAAAAAGTCTTACCCTATAGTAATGTAAGGCAATAAATAAGATGCGGCTTTGGTATCCTGGATCACGTTTCTCTGGCAAAAGGCTAATTTCGTGCTGTACTCGTGATATTTTAACTGTTAACATTATGTGAGTAAGCAATCTATATATTCCGCAGCTAAAACAGGATTTCTTTGTAACACTGTATTGATAAATGAAGATACAACCATACGATTGTTTGAGGGAAAGGGGAGGTCGAAAATAGATTTTGATAGATTCATACAGCGTTTATCTCATGCTGAAGTTAATACACTGCAAAATATAAACAGGTATCGTTTTTAGCTCACCTGGACCAAAAGGCCATTTGATCCATTGCTATCAATTGACAACTGCCGTCATAAAATTTTAAAAAATCTTCTCTCTCTGAAACTACTAAGCCAATTGTAATCAAATTTTATCTGAATGTTTATTAGGAATGTAGGTAAAGATTATTTCCGGGTAATTGATCCATCAAGAAATAAGACAGCTGATGGAAAAAGATAAAACAAAGGGGATACAACTGTAGTTTTAGTTTAATTTTGAAATACTAAAGTAAAATATTTACAGCAATAATAACATACTCACACCTTGTCGTCCAATGGACGATCAGTATTTTCTCTTCTATTCAAAAGTTTTACAGGACTTTAAATTTCCGAAATATTAAGGATTTTCTACCCCAGAATAGATTAGTGTACCTTAGCTGTATTTGGCAAACCCTTTCGAAATTTTGGGTTTTCAACTCTTCAATTTCCTACTGTAGTTGGCCTTTTAACTTTTTTGATTCGAGCGTCACTGCTGATGAGTCTTTTGTAGAAGAAAAGCGCGTCTTGCGTACAAAATATGAATCCTGGGTTTATTTTCAAAGTACATGGATTTCCACGCACCATAAAATGCTATACATTAATGGCTTTTCATTGCGGTTTAATTATTAAAGTGAACTCTTAATTTTTATGAAGTGTATAATCCCTATAGGAAATTTTCGAAAGGAAAAGAGCAAATAAATCATGAGTACTGTTGCTTGTCTAAATCATTATAAATGAAAATCATAGGTTAGACAATACTTGGTCATGTTTTATGAATAGTTAAAGCTCAAGGCAAAGCCGAGGGTTTTTAATGTTCATAGAACATGACCAAATATTGTCTGACCTATTTAGAACATATTCACACATATGATGAAAAAAGACAAACAATGATAAATCAACTTTTCGAACATATGATAAAACTGAATCAATAAATATTAATATTACGATCGTTCCATCATCAGATGCTTACTTTTTCACTGCTAAACGTATTGGTTTTTTTTCAAATTTCCTTTGCTTTATATATCAACAGTCATTGTATCTTTAAAAATGTTATAAAATTGAGAATGGAAATGGGGAATGTGTCAAAGAGACAACAACCCGACCATAGAGCAGACAACAGCCGAAGGCCACCAATGGGTCTTCAATGCAGCGA